GTTAGCAGGCTGCGAGGCTACCCACTAGACCACCGGGGCGACCGGTGTGTACCTCGCGGTTTCGTGAACAAAATGGGGTCCTCCAACAAGCTTCCCTCTGCCAGGCCCTAGTAATTCCTGTTCTTGTGGGTGAAACAAAAAAAGTTGGGGGTCCTTCCTAAGGGGTGGCGCATGGGTCTGAAGCGCTACAAGGCGGTTGAAAGGCGCCTACCCGGCACCAGGCGTTGCGCCCGATACCGAAAAAATTGTACCCCATTTTGTCAATCCCCCCGCAAAAAGAAAGCAGTGACGGCTGTTTCTAAAGTCGAACAATAGGTTAGCACATGCCAACCGGTGACTGGCCACATAAAGCGGCAGAAGAGAGAGCAGGTCACATAGTACTGCTTTAACGTGAACAATACGACGAACGGGCGATTTGTCTTCTCGAGAAAGAAGACACGGTCGGAGGAAGCCCCTCCCTGTGGCTGGAATCCAACACGATGCAATTTAACTCAACTTTCCGGGCAGGGATCTGACTGCATGACATTGAAACTCGTATATAATTGTTTTAATTTTCAGTTCTGTCATACGGCGAGACGTTGTGGAGTGCTGTCTCATCTCGCCTCATCCCCAGTTCAGGGCTTGGTTGAAAGCCCAAACGCTCCGAAAGGCGCTTATTACTCTCAACGGATTTTTTTAGACATATTGATGCTACGGTCACTACCTGATACTGCTGTTCGCACGCTGGAAACGCACACACATAATACGTTCGTCGCTACCCTTTCGAGGATGGGTGTATGCGTTTTTGCTTGGAGAAAACGCCGCATTTTGCCGTTGAAGTCGTTCTGCTGGCCCTGACTCCGACTGCTGAATTACAGCAGTATACAGACACATGTACTCCTAGTTGCAGCAGTCGAGCCATGTCGTAGCGGTGTCAGCAGAGATGCAGGGATGAGCAATGCACATCATCACCGTGCAGACCGCCGAGCCCGATGCTCGTACGTTGGCACGCACACACATATATATATATATGTGCATATATATGTGCATGCGGCACACATGCTACACATGCCATACATACACATGCGTGCGGCATGCGAGCTTCCAACCAAGAAAATCAAGAAAATACAATGTTGACAGCTAAATTCTAAAGGGATCTTCATCGTTGAAAAGGCTAGCGCCGAGCTCCCAAAAATGGCGCAAACCCTCCTATTGATTGCAAGTTTTCTTTTTCTGTTTTTCTAATCCATGGTTACCTCGCATAGCGTGTAGAGGAGAGCGGAAGGTTCTAGACTATCTGTCGTTGATTTCTATTGACGTGCAGAACCTTCGAGTCCATTTTCACTTTAGTACTCCAGGACACCTTCTTGGGTATGTTGGCCTGTGAACACGGGAATCGACCGCGTCCAGTGTTCGACTAGTATGGACAGGAGAGAGTTCTGGGTAGAAAGGTCGGAACGGTTTTTAGTATGAAGGCAACAAGAAGAAGTCCATCGATAGTCTATGCATAATCTGTTTCCCTGTGTCTGTTTTTTGCATGTTCTGGCGTCACCTATTGCCGCGGTGCTCGCTTTCACCCACTCCGGAGGCAGACGTGTACTTGGAAGTATAGGAGTATTTTTAATTGTGTTGATTTGGGTATCAACGAAGACACCAACACGGAACACTTTGGTTGAGGTAGGTTTTAGCATCCGTGTCACCCAACTTGAGGTATCACTTGGAGTGTTTGGTACGCCGCATAAAAGTGGCACACAGCAGTCTCGTAGGTACAGGATGGAGAAAAAATTACCCACTTAGTGTGTTGACTTTCCGCTTCAACAAATTAGTCTGCAGTGTTGCTGTATCCAGCCAGCGTTCGAGAGTTGTTAGAGCGAGCAAGGTTCGTTCTTGGTCGGTACCTTAACTTGCTGATCAACGTCCTTATCTCTGCTGCTTGCGCCCGAGTCCGTCATGAAAAGCAAGCCTTTTGGTGCCGCTCTTCTACGCCGATGTGACCATCCTGCGGACAGACAGCGGATTTGGCGGGGCTGCAGTCCTTCTGCCGTCATGAGCACCTTCACCGCTGTTTGGCTCTTGACCACCAGGGGTGATGAGGAGAGGAGCGAGTGAACCACTAACGCCGAACTTTCCGCAGCCAGAGAAAACAAAAGGAGTGCTTTAGTCGCTTGCCATACTGGCACTGTCATGATGTGGGTACTTGCTAGACTGGCAGCGTGACCCTGTCCCGCTGGCTGGTGTCCTGTTTCAGTCCGTCGAGGTCTCTCGTCTCTCGTCGCTCGTCGCCTTGCCGCGTGGTTCTGCGTACCCCCTGGGCAACAAAATGGAAATAGGCGTCTAAAATAATAGCTGACAGTTCCGCCACCACCCCAACAGCTGGCCAGAGCGCCGAGAGAGCTCAGCTGCTTTCCGGAGAGAGGGCGGAAGGGCAAACATAGAGCCCTGGACTGGACGCATCGATATTAACTTTGAGAAGGCGCGGTCAACACAATAGAACCAACCTTGCGCGTTGTAATAGTTTTCTATGCATATCTTGCATAAAAAGTTGGAATACTCGTAATAGAATTTCTTTCGACCTACAGCACCGCCGCTGCTGTAGAGCGGAGGGTGATGAGGACTCAATACCTTGTTGTATTCTATCTGCGATACTGTGCGATGCCATTGTAAGGCCACTTATGGCGGTGTATGATTTGTTGTATTCCTGGTCGTCTTTCTGTGATTTACAGAACGAGCCGGAGACAACAACGTCGGGTCGAGCGTCAATTCCTTGGTCGAAAAATGATCTACTTACAATAATCAACCGGGACACCGCGGTTTTGGAGTTTAAATACGCGGGCGAAGACCGCGAATACGGCTGTGAAACCCGTCGTTGGAAGTATGTACACATAAATAGAAGGGCAGCACACGCCTTAGAAATGTTGCACCTCTCTCAACGAAGGAAAGTAAACACCAGAGCAAAGAGATTTCGTCACCATTGCAGCGAAGAAAATCGCGTGCAGATTTGCCGCCTAGAAAGGAGGTGGGTTTTCGAAATGTGTTCGCTACAAAGAAGACCAGGACGGAGTCATGATGATAGCGAAGAAGAAAGAAAGCAGTAGAAGATGCAGAGATGGCCAGAGCATCATCACGTTACTTGAAGTGATCTGGCGAGAGGATGGGTGTGCAGACGTGCAGACGAAATAGAAAAACACACATATCGCTAGGTGTGTGTATGATACTCTCCTCCCTCCTCGCTTTTTCTGAGCTCTTGGTGGTGCTGCCATGTGCTCGAGATCAACACTTCAAGTGTGTATTTTGAAGTCGTCAAACGCTACTGGTTCTTCTATCCTACTGCTTTGGGCGTGAGATATGCGCCAGTTGCAGAAGCTCCGGGCTGTTCCAACTCGGTGCGCCGAGAAGTCTAACTGCCAAAATTGCTCGAAAACACACAAGATGCACGTAGTAGGCGCCAAGCTGCATCTGTCCAGCCGCCTTTTATGTTGCCATATGGTCGAAGTCGTCCATTTTCTTGCAAAAAACTGGGGGGGTTGTCGCATCCTGCTGTTTTTCTTGTTGTCTTTATTATGATAGATATATGTATCTTGCGAACAACAACAACGGCTAGTTCCTCTTGATCTCTGAGGGCTTGTTCAATCCCTCCAGAGAGGCGACGGAGAATGCTATCGAAATCGTACGGCAGACAGCATGTGATGGTCCGCAACGTGTGGCAGTGAAATGCTACATAAGTGAGCAGCGCAGCCAAAGGCGGCGCTGCGGTGCGGGGGGCGCCGCGAAAAACTCACTCCCGCCCGCTAGGACATTGCACTCAGCTACCCCTTGTTTCTTATGTCTTGGGAGTATCGTACGATCCTGTTTCCTATCGGGATGTATGTCGTCGTCTAGATTGAGGTGTGTTTGGAACCCATTTTTCTTAGTGTTCGCGAAAATTTGAGCCTCTGTCTCATACTTCGTACCACTTACTTTGCTTTGCTGCGGCTGCGGGCCCATTCTATATGTACCTTTATTGCACAGGGACGACGCGAGACATTTGAGAAATTACAGGAAACCCATTTCCTGCGGTGCAGCTGACCATATTTATTTTAGCTAATACGTCCGAGTCATCACCAACATAACATTCATGTACCTTCCCAACTATTTATTTTCGGTGATTTCTCTGCTGTACGGAGTGAAGCAGCAGCAGCTCGTGTGGCGGCTGATAAGAGACCACGGGGCGATAGGGGGTTGTTTTTGTTGTTGTTTTTCTTCACATTAAACTCGTGTCAGCTGCTAATCCCAAAATCTAGCAAAGACTCGGTCCGTGGTCACAAAAATGCTAGAGTCATCAGAAGATCTAAAGAACACACACTATTAGCAAAAAAAGGGTACACAAGCCCGAGGAGGTACACCTGCAATCCCTGCAGCACGTTGCATGCTCACAACTGAACTACACGCCCACACACTACAAATCGACTACAGCAGCAGCATCACCCCCCTTGTCCCGCATTTAACCACAATGAATGTTTGTCGACTACAGCGTACTGCTGTCTGAAGTGCTGTCGGTACAATAATAACACCATGGTGCGTGGTACACAAGCTCGGGGCATGCAGCAGCTATCTGAAGTGCTGTCAGAATGAGTCCGTGGACATACAACGAAGAAGAACACCCAACCAAAGCCATCATTGCAATTGACAATCACCCGAATCGATCCAGATCATCTGTGTTAGGCACAGCAGTGTAAACATCGACACTGACTAGGAATCGTTCCACATTGAAGGGGTCTTCCACGATGCAGGTACACAATTAAAAGCACCCGGATTATCCGCGCCATCTCTGCCGCGTCTCTCTGCAAAACCAGTGACGTCATCACACACACCCAACACCTGTATTCAGGAAACAAACGGGAAAATATTTGACAACACAAGAGACGTTTGTTCGTGCGACACGGTTCGATGCCGTCCGCATGCTCCGGTTCCGCTGCTCCGGTGCCGCTGTGGCCAGTCCTAGCACGACCAAACTCGACCCGCTTCGCTTCGTACACGCTCTCGTTGCTGTCCATCCCAGTCGGTTCCTCGCTTTCTCCCTCGTTGCACTTAGGGTTCTTGGTCTAAAAATTCTCGCGCCGAAGGGTCAACCAGCCCAATCAGCTCGTCACCACCTATCCCCTCCTCCTTTGATGGCAAAACCAGGTTACTGAGACAGTACAGCTCCCTCTAGCAAACCTAGGGCCGTGTACATAGTGCCCGTCCACCTTTCTGATGACGTCTGCCTCCGCGCACAAGGATGAGATGAGCATTGCTGCCTACACCGACGGCCTGGAGGCCCGCGCATCTGCACCTTTGTACCTGACGCACCAGTGCCGATCCAACTCCACCACTACGCACGCCTCGCGGCGGGTGCGCCGCAGCAAGAAGGTATCGGTCCCTTGAGGGTGAGTCTAGCCCTGTTCGCTAGAAAGACCCCCCCCCTCGCTATGGGTCATGCCTGCGCAAAACCTTGCCGAGGCAGCGAGGGGAAGAAAGGTCAACGGAACCTGAGGTAGCGAGAGTCGACAACATGGGTGGGAGAAAAACCCTACCACCTCTAGAAAAGCTCTTTTCTTTGCCCGTGTCACAGGTAGGTTTCGTTTCCCGATGATCCGTCTCCTCCCACTGCGACATCAGCAGTGACAAAGGTATCCACCACGAGCTGTGTGTATGCTACCCTTCCCCCGCCAGGTACCTACTGACTACTCTCATCCCAGAGCTCTACTGCAACTCCTGCAATATTTTTATGGACAAGTACGTTTGGTGAAAAATCGTTCGGGTAATATATATACATATATATATTTACAGGATGTACGCACTTGAAGCACTACGCAATCCGGAATGGATCAAAGGCCGCAGATGATGCGGCAACCAACGTGGGCCTTTTTTCCATGAAAACAAGCAAATGTCTACGCACACCACCGATGTAACGTGGTGATCTTTTGTGACGGCTAACTCTTCAACACTGTAACCAGCTTGATCCAGAAGACCTAGGTGTGGTGCAATTCGCAGGGCGGAGTGCACTTGTGAAAACTCTTCACAGTGATACTTTTATTTTCATTTTCTAGATGTGGCTGTCATGGGCAACCTACGATGCGTGCGCACCTCTCTTCTTCGAGATCAAGGAAACGCCTAAAGCTACCATCGGAAATTGCCCGCGCAGACTCCGAGATGATGGTAAAGTGATCCCTCTAGGACCCGACATCACTTTGATTAGGTCACGTCAGGACGCGACCTTGAAACGGCTGTAGACGTCGCAACTCAAGCGCTGTACGTGACGAACTTGTTAATCAGCACCGTTTCCAGTGCCGCAAGTGGCGAAGGAACTAACGCCTGTCTGTGCTGAAATTCACAGCAGATATGTCGTTGCTTTCGATTTAATTGAAGGCGAACGTTCGTCCATGGGCGTATTGCAGTTGTGATACCGATCATATCCATCCATGAAACTGTACGTACTTCTGTGTGTCTCCCACCTCCACCAATTTGTCGGCAGGTGTACAACCACCCACGAAACGCGCGAGGTGCATGATAACATATTTCGTTTGGGATACAGTATCTCCTGCTGTGGACTAAGAGTACATATGCAAACTTGGGTTCCAATGAGTCGTGACAAGGTGACTTTCAGGCCCAGCACCAAAATGCCCGCGACACCAGATTCCGTATAAAAGTTGTTCAGAATGTAGGGCACATTACGCAGCATACCGCACGGTCCCTCTCGCCACGTATTCGTTGGAAGTGGCAAGACAAACATGCATGCGTCGTCGCGAAACTTGCGTTGTTTGTACCTTTTCCCTGGATTTGCGACCTTGATTCTGTAGCTGCTTGGCCAGAGATGCCTTAGGCCGCGTTTATTCCGTCCAGACTATTTACGACGCCTTCGACAACTAAACACGTGCAGCGACATTAGTTCGCCTGCGGTACGCAGTTCTTTTGGTGTTGTTATATTCTCGTGCTATTGCCACATCGCTCGATTGGACGGGTCTATCGGTCATCTCGGAATCGCTCGGGTGCAAGCGTGGAAGAAACGAGCATCCATCGGACGCATGCCTCGGCGGCAAGCGAGAAGAGATCCATGTAAATTCATTTCCAGCAAGAATGATTCCATGGACTATGATAAGAGGCAGAGTTTTCTCAGAGAGAGAGAACCCTCTCTGTCTTTTGCCCCGGCTAAACAAGAGAAACGACGTAAAGATATTGGACTGGCACAGGGCAACAGTGGCCTAGCAAGAAAAGAGAGATGCACGACGAAGGGCACACATACACGGATACCCAGCACCTTGGCTAGACCACAGTCACAAGCGACATAAATCACACGCACCTCCCTAAGGAAAAAAATTGAAGCATTACTCGGAAGTTGATGCGATCCACTCAAGCAAAAAACGCCGCAATGCACCAGTATCGGCCACAACATCCTTTCTGCCAGGTGTAGAAACTCGAACTTGCCCGCCTGCCTCTACCGCAAGAGTAAGCGCAGGCTTTGACTGCGATCGTCGTCCGCCCAGAGGTGATTTTGACAACACGAACCTCGCCGGGGTGACAGCTGTGAGCACGAACTCCCCCCTGGCGGGAGAACGGTCACCGTTCATTCCAGCTGCACTCCCTACACCCGGCAACACACGCGACACCTCGGCCAGGACTGGCACAGTCAGTGAAAGACCATGTAGCAAGGCGCTGAGATCGCGGTGCTTCCTGACCGATGCCTCCAGCTCCCGCATGGCCGCCGGACAAGTTGGAGCATGAGGCCAAGGGATCAAAACCAATCCTGGCCGGTCTGCCGAAGAGATATGCCTCGAGGAGAACGCGCTGTGCGTCAGAAGCACCACGTGGTCGAGCTTAGAATCTCGCATGGCGACGTGTACTGGGCTGAAAGACACCACGCTGTAGCCTGCACCCTCGCATCCGGTCTGTCGCAACTTACTCGCCTGGGCAGCCAAAGTCTGCATGACAGTCAATCCCTCCCCAGCCAGAGCAAACGAGCGGCACATGGCATGGACAGAGAAAGAAGGAGGAAACCGGAACCTGATGTGCTTCCCTTGTGCCATCCTACTGCTTTCAAAATCCTCTTGACGAACGCCGCGAATCTCGACATGCTGTGCCAGTGGCAGTTGCTCGTGGACGACCCCCTTCGTTTCGGCCAGTCCCGTGTCTTCGTGCTTCGCCGGGACAGCCCAGATGAAGTCCATTAGCGATGTTGTAGGGCCAAGTGTAACATCCCACTCCCAGGTATCTGCTTGAGTGTGTCCAGGAAAAAACGACACCCTCGCAGAGGACGCTGCTACCTCTGGACTTGACCAGCCATGCTCACCCGCCAAAAACACAGCGCAGTGTGGGACTTGCTGCGTCGCCCCGGAAAAGTGCGTCAGCTCGCGAAAATCCAATGACAGGCCGGTGCCGACCCTCAGCAAAGCATGCTGCAACCGCGCGAACGGTACAAATCGGTTGCACATCTGCACCGCCGTACACAACTGGGTCTGAGATGCTTCTCCGACCGTACCGACTGGCGCATGCAACGTGGTGGGGCAAAGTCCGTCGTGCACCCCCTTCGCGATACCATTCGCCCCCTGCGAGTAGTCTGCATCCAGACACGAGGCTGAACGCTTGGTGCCCACCGCCGGGGGGGGTTCGGATGAAAGTAGATCCGCGTCAAGGGACCCGCACCGCGAACCGCTAAGCGGCTGACAAGGGAAGAGCTGGTAAGTCTCTCCCACCACCGGCCGAAGTGAATTTCGAGCCCGCCCCGCCGTAGGAAGGGTGGCCGAAACTACCGTGTGTTCCACATCCAAGTTACCAGTGACGTCCACTTCCAAAAAGAAAGAAAGCATCTCGCCCGTCTCCTCTAGCACATTCCCTTCTGACGACGCTTTTACGCCGTCAGCCCCGGGTCCCACGCCGCGATCGGTTCTCCAACGCGTTGACCTGCTCGCCATATCATCTCCGCCGTCGGATACCTCCACCAGTGATGCTGCAAGTGCCGCTGGTAGCGTCCCACCACCTTGCTGCCAGCCACTGGAACAGCTGAGATCACCGTCGAGGGGTGGTGCCGAATTGAGACGAAACGCAGCACCTGCCGACGCTGCAGTTGGGACTTGACCGATGGTTGCGGCCCTTTCGGCCCTCGTCAGTTCAATCGCGCTTGTCCCCCTTCGCAAAATGCTAAAGTTGCGAGTCCTTTTGCGCCATGCTTCCGACAAACGAACGCCATTCTCTCGGAATTGGCCCAGGCGCACGGAGCTTCGCAAGGTGTCGCTGCCGTCCAACCGAGGGAACTCTGTACCAGCATCTATGACGTTCGTATCTGTGCGGCCAAGCAAAGCTTGCCAGCGCAGGTGAGGGACCACTCCAAAAGCACACCGAAAGGTGTGCTCCAACTCACCCCTGCGTAGGAGTCCAAACGATTCCCCCATGCAACGACGTACCTGTCAACGGCAAATGATCGAGGGGTTCGCAAACAAGTTAAATGTACGTTTCACAAACCCCGTCCTGCAGTGTACGACCCTCCAGCAGAGGGAGGGGAGGCCGTGGGCGCCTCGTTCAAGGTACCGATCCAACTCACAATTGTTGTTGCAAGTCACCCCATCCAATCGTCTCAAGGTATGTGAACACTAGTGTAGTATGCCACAAATCGAAAAAAAAGACGGTTCTCGGTTGGTACCAATAGGATGTCTTGCCACGAAATACCGTACTCGTATGCCGGTATTGGTGTGCCTTGAGGAACTTCGACCTCAAGCGCCACGTTGTGACATACTCTTTACATCTTACCGTACAAAAAGTATATTCGTGCCACTACCTAACACCTACGTGTTGCTGGCGCAGGTCTTGCTCCCCGTTTCGCGTTCTCTGGGTTGGTAGCGATCGTTTCTGTAGGATACTCCTGCCTGCCGATAGCGTTGAAGCAATGCTCTCTCCAAGACTTTGCGAGTCCGTTAGAGGCAAGAGGTTCAAGGCTTCCCGCAAACGAGAAATGCAACTCGCCATAGCTTTACCGCCACCGGGTAGGGTGTCTTTCACCAGATATCTGAGCAAAAGCAGGACCAAGTGTTGGTAGCAGCAGGAAATTTTTGTAAGGAGATTTTTTCTGCAGGAGATGATATCCATGAGTCGAGAAACAAAAACAAAAAATGCAGGCCTCGCTGCAAAAAGGAACACCGTACGAAAAGCCTCCAACTTGAGAAAGCACTTTAACCATACACCAAAGAAACTCAATAAATCCTATTAACACCACCACCTGCCACTCTTGACGTCCACGGACACTTCCACGCCCCCACCCCCCCAAGGACAAATGTAGACGCTGAGCCCGCCCACAGTGGTCACCCGCGGCACGCAAGTTCTGGAAAAACGAACGAGCGAGGTCAGAACAGAACGAGCATGTTCGGAGGTTAATGCCACTTCCCTAATGGTGACTGGCCCTTACAAACACTAATCCACGTCCACGAACCGACAGTACAGTGAATGTCACGGCAAATGACGACCTTTTATCTGGTCCCCACATGAGCAAGTCACCGAAAGCGCCAGCAGAACCTAGCACATGTCGTGGCAGACGGCGATGTACCGTTCGGTAAGGAACGCTTGCGGATGAAATATAAACTGCTGTGGGAGTCGCCATGACTTTGATCTGTGAACATAAGGGTGTAGCAGTTTCTACCTGATCACGAATTGTCATAAAATAGTAGAAGTAATATTCAAGACGAGCTGTCTCCATGCGCCACATACAGACATACCATGCCAACAAATCAAATTGAGCGAAATATCTCACCCGAGTTGCGCCGCATATGACTCAACATCTGCTGCCAGCGTGTTGATCTTTTGTGAGGCAAATACTCGGGCGGCAGCCAATAGCATTCGTGCGCAACTCAGCTTGTCCGGATATATCTGAACCGAACTGGTCAGCAGCGAATCTACCGCGGCCGTCTCCTCGTCCGTAGTCACAGAGTGACCCCCCACGTCGCTGCCCAGCCCTCTCCCTTCAAGCAGCTCCCCTGGCGGTCCAAGAGAGGCCACTATCTGCAAGCCCAGGACAGAAAGTCAACAGGTATTGCAATCAGCCGAGTCCTTCCACGGTTCATTTTTCTCTGTAGACAACACTGGCATTCGATCTGTGTCACTTCCAGACACGCGCATACATACGTAGCTGGGGCGTCATGACGGAACGCAAGTACACGAAAGTTGTCATCAAGAACTTGTCATCAACCTATCCTCACTGCATTATTGGCTGAGTCCGTACAAAACGCATCAGCGTGGCAGTAGTGCCTGATCCACACGCCGTGGGCTCAGTACGAATGCTCGATACCTGGCTATTTCTGTCCATCGGCCTATGCACGCGCAAATACCGACACCCAACAGGGGGCGGTGGCAAGGAGTCCTCCGCTTCCGTTGCCTTCAATCTCGAGCCAGTTGCCACCTGCTCCCGACGAAGTGGGGCTTCCCCAACACGGACGCCTCCGACCCCGACATCTCCCCCAGTGCCGCCAAGTCCAACACTGAACTCTCGTTGCCACAGGCAAAGATCGAGGACCTACCAGGGGGTGAACGGCAGTTCGTTGAAAGTCGCGACATGACGGGTTTATCTCGTCGTTCAAGAACTAAATGTAGTAACAGCCAGAATATTTATGTAGAGCTGGTAAGAGCCACAACATGACAGTAGACGGCAGGGATCCAGTACACAAGACAACAGGAAAGCGAACACCAAACTTGTACGAGCCTTTTGCTTCCCACCACATACACATAGCGTGTGGGCTGCCTTCAGAGCAGCAGCTCACAGGGTAGACTTGCCTGAGAGTCCTTGTGGAACATCACCGCAAGCTGCGAGGCCCACAAGCCTCCTACCCTCGTCGCCAGTTTCTGAGCCTGCGCGTGTAAAATTTCCAGCACCATGCTGCAACACAGGTCGTGGCACACTTGATACGCCGCAAGCAGAGCGTTCGGTCTCGGGTTTGCGTCACCGTCCGCGTGCACATCCATCGCTTTTTGGATCACCTCGTGAAGATACCTGCCAGCAGTGCCGTGGGAGGAGCTTTGCTATGATGCACACATCTGCCGACAAGCAGAAATCAACTGGCAGTTCGCGGTTACACTGCTGTAAATGATCTATCGTGAAAGCGCAACAGGACTAACATATGACCTTCACCCTTCCACCGACCTTTGCTGACGAAGATCTCGCACAGGTGCGGTGATCGTTTCTCCTTCCCTCGCCTGCACCAGCAACGTGATCCCTAGCAAGGCCCACCTAGCATCTTCCCGTTCAGCTTGGAGAGTGACCATGAGCTACAAGGGGGAAAGCAGCAATACAAGACGGTTTTGTACGATCACAGAGTGGACGGGACAGGTAGAACACGACGTCTGCTCTGTACCAGGGTGATAAATTGATATCATTGGTGCTGCAACAAGGTGATGAGCTAAAGCGGTTCGCGAGGGTCGCGCCATGATTTGTCTCTCAGAGCAACACAGCACGACCGAACGTAAAACGCAACAAGCTTCAGTGCCCTCCAGTACAACTGCACTACTCATGAGTACGGTGGGATGTAGCTTGCTATATTCGAAGCAAACATTCCTTGGGCCTGCCGCCCGATTTGTCGACAGCTGAAAGAGTATCATTTGGGGAGAGGGTACCATTATTCCGAAAATTGATCTCACACAACTTCGACTCTTTCCATGACCAAGCGCAGAACTTCGTTCGTACCACCGTGCGTTCTCTGGAGTCATTGCAGAATGTCCCTTGGCATCACCGCTGTCAAGAGGAATGCGGTGTGCTTAAAGGGAGCGGCTTTCGGGGTCCGACATGATGCTCCGCCATTGCTTGCCGGACTCTCAAATAGCTAGCGGTAGACTCCGCTATACAGGATGCTCGTTCAACATCTCACCTCAAACTCTCCGTTGACTGTGAGCGTGAGCACGCCGTTTTTCACGGTGTGGCTTGTGAACTGATTGGGGACGCCGCCCCTTCTCAAAAGAGCCAAACGTATAGCACGGTCCACCCTCAGCACAATCTCCTCGCGATTCGCTGGCAACTGAGGGGGGTGTCAATAGAAATGGTTTGGTCACGTGGCAAGCTTGCAAGGCTGTGTTGGAAAAGAATGTCAGAGGATATCTCTTCGACCGATATTTGATATATTCAGCGCAGCTCTCCAAAACCACATCGACTTGAGTTGAGGCCTGGAGCGATTTCCGACGAGGAAACGAAGAGGCAAGCAATACTTGTACGGTTGTGCTTACGTGCAGCAGCAGCACCGTTCCAGACAGGAAAAACACGTGAGTATGAAACATAACAGACACACGGATGACAGACCTCGAAGATAGGGCGCGGGTCGATATCGCCTCCGCAATACTCTATCCCTTTCGGCAGGTGGGGATACCGTCCCCCGATGAGGACATCCACTGCAACAGGTACGTCGTAGAGTCGCTGACGCGCGCCGAACAGCCCCCCGTGCATGAAGAAGAATTGGTCTTGGCACTGGTGGTACGAGACACAAGTACAACGGTACGTGTTGTGCCATTGGTCGATGAGTTGAGTGTAAATAGATACAGAGCTGCACTGTTACTCCACAGGTGATATTTATGGAATTCTACAGCAGCCCTGCTGTTTATGTGGAACAAACGCGAGGTAGTCTGGAGGAGGTCTACGAAGTGCAGAGGCATCTTGGCTCGGTAGAGTCAATACATATGCTGGCTGCTGTATGGATAAGTTGACGAGGTCGCGGTGTCGCGGCTGCAGTCCTTCCACGGTCAAACAACATTGCCGGACAGATCAGACCTGGCCATAGACAATTGGTTTGAAAGTCCATCCTCAACACTTGTAGCTGACTACCAAGCAACGACCGGCGGTGAGCAAGCTATCTTCGGAGGCAAACCATCTGCTACAGCAGGAGCCACAGCAGGAAAAAACAGAGCACGTTCACTCAGAATCAATGTACCCAAAAGCGTTGTCTCGTGCGATGCTGTGGGGTGCCACCCTAAACGTGTCGCGTGTTAATAACATGCATAGCTCACCGCATCAATCTGCTCGCGTTGAGATCGAGCTTCAGCGAGTGCATTGCTCGCATTCGCAACTAATTCCCCATGGTTTCCACATAGCCAGCTGATGATGGCATATGCCTTGAGGAACCGCGCACGATTGGATCGGATGTAGTCGAGTAAGTCCTCCCGGCGAGAGTCATGATTGACACGGCTCAGAATGTTCGCCAGACGACGAATGTCGTGGAACGCGCGATCCGTTTGTCTTAGACAAAGTTCCGAGGCCACTAGAGTTGAAAGAGGAGCCAACAGCCTTCCCTCTACATCCTCCCCCGAAGGCGTGCCCGCCATCTACTGCTGTTGCTGGCTGCCGAGCTTGCAACACTGGCAGACATGACGACGACCCGCGGTTCGAGGGTTTCCATACAAAGAGGAAGGGGGGCGAAACCGTCCGATCTTCTACGTTTTCTTACCGTATATATTCACTTCGTTTTACCCGATCCTCTTGGCCAGCAGACAAGGGCGGAGAAGGAATGCGGCACAGGGCCTCACCATCCTCCATGATCTAGTCGATACTAAATCTCCGGCTTTTTTAGTTGGGTCACATCATTTTTGGACCATGCCCGATCGTTCAGATGCACGGATCGCGTGGATCCAGCAGCGATTGCTTCTCGGGCTTGGGCTGGAAGAAACAGAGGTTGACTACGTGTTCGATGGGCCTCGGGCCAAGCCAAACACTAGTTGCAGCGACCTAACTGTGGTTCCACGTGCTGAAGACATCCTGCGTGACTTTCTCGGAACAGCTGGGGTAGGGTCCTCGTTGTTTTTCTACGTTGAAACGGAGGACGTGGAGGAGTCTGAAGAATACGACGAAGAATACCAGGAATCTGAGGCTGTTCTAGAGGGGAACCAGGCGGTCAGCGAAGCCCCGTCTTTGCCAGAAGGCGAGGGAACCGCGGTTGAACAAAGATCAATATTAAGCGATGGAAAATCGACGGTTCCGACGGAGAGTCCGTCGGAAGACCCGGCCGTAGCAATAGTGGAGGGCTCTGATGCACTAGACGCGGCTTCCGCTGAGGAACCGGGAGGAGAAACCAATATTTCAGATTCAGACCAATCGGCGGTGCCTGAGGTGAGAGTGGTGACCAAAACCCGCAAGGCGTTGCGGACAGTCATTACCAACAAGAGGCGGTGTCGTCTGATGCAAGGAAATCTGCCAGACAACGTGGAGAAGGTCGTGTACTTCGTAAAAATAGTGGGCGGTGAGGTTCCCAGGCCGGCGTCAACCAGCGACCACGACAGGATGGTATCAGCAATGGAGTACGGATGTCTTGCTGGTGACTGCCTCACTAACCTGTCTGCTGCTATCAAAGAAGTGTTTGCGCCGCTACTTGACCACCAGCTAGGCCTGAGCGTGTCGACAGCTGGGATAAATGGGGTAGGAGACAAGGCATCTCCCGATGCCAATGCGGCAATACCGCAGGATGCGCCTAAGGTAGGCGACAACCTTCGGAACGAGTTCCGTGCCAATCTTCACAAGTTCGAGTCCCAAGTGACTCATGCTACGCAGCAGGTCAAAGGCGACGTGCATCTGTCGGTGCCAAACATCAACATCGATGACCCAGATATTGGAAACGATTTCGAAGCTGTTTCATTGCTCGAGGGCGCCACGGAGGAGTGGAGCCGACTGATCGCCGCGGTGGTGGAGGCAGAAAACCTTAAGCGTGTCAAAGGGAAGGGTCCAATGGCAGAGATTGAGTTTTGGCGCCGAAGAAATGCCTCTCTTAGTGCTCTTTACGAGCAAATCAACATGCCTAAGGTGAGGGTTGTAACGCTACGCCTTTGTGGAAGCATTCTAGCGTTTACGTTTTGTACATGCCTGCACAGCGGTCTGTTTGCAAACAGATGAAGACAATTGCAACCGTTGATGGCACCTTATCTGCATGCTATCATCAGGAATTTGAGTGGACGGTTCTCTGCATGGTTTGCTTCCAAAACCAACAGGCTCCTCAAACAGGTCGGTGTGACCCGCTCGTCGAAATCCGCAGCCCACCGCCGTAGTGCACCATGGAGTTTCGTGGTCGTTAACGTAAATATTCAAATGTTCAAAGTACGTTGATGCACCTCGCTCGGAGTAGGACATGTTTGTCCCCCGAGTTTTCCATCGGTATACCGTCGCCCACCTTCTTCTTTTGAGCTCGTCCCGTTCGTCAACACACATGGGCAAAAGGTCCAGAGAATGTTGAAGGTCATGGACGAGGTAGAAGCACCCATGCTGCCGACCTTCAACTATCACTTCTCGGAGCTGTCAAGACTGTACATCGAGGCAAAGGACAACGTGAAGTGAGACCATTCGAGCTGTTTGTCTTTGAGTTGCACACGTGTGATAGGTGGTAGATGTTGGTCGCTATAATAGTCGCGGCTTGCGAGGAAAGTGTCTGTAAGTAGGTTTGCATGCATTTTCGTACCAAGTGTGTAAACAAGCACGTTAGCTCCTAGATTGTGGTTGTAACACGTTGACCCGAAACTGGCCACAGGTTTCTCACCACGCTCGAGCGCCACTTCAAGAACATCAGCCAAGGATCTTTTGGCGTGACTCTCGACACCCTACCTTCCATGATGAACGCTATTCGCATGGTGTGGGTCATCAGTCGTCACTACAATACGGACGAGCGCATGGTGCCGCTGATGGAGCTTATTGCTGGAGAGATCGCGGGGAAGGTGCAACTAGAACAACCAACCTAACCAATCAACGAAGTACGCTCTCATCGTCGGTTTCCACGTACCTATACTCGCTTTCCTCTTTCGGAATGCTGCCATCGATTTTTCTGTCAAAGTTTGACGGACGCGTGACGAGCGTGCATCTTCACGGCCCGCACCTCAATTTTCGTTATATGCTCGTGCACCCCATGGTGGTCGAACGACAGGTGGAAACTCGCATCAACATCCGCACGATTCTTCAAAAATCTCCCGAGACTGCCAAGCACATGGTTACGGAGGCTCGAAAGGTTTTGGAGTCTTGGCATGCAACCTACATGGATGTTCGTCATCGTATCGAAGAGTCTGGAACTGATCACCGCTGGGAGTTTGATCGGAAAAGATTGTTCGAGCAAACCAACTACATGGCAAGAGTGTGTGGAGACTTACTCGAGGTGAAGCTGCAGCCGGCACGTTCCGTTCAACCGGAGTGACAAGAGCTAGGAGAGTTTCAACATCTTGTTTCGCTGCCTAATTCTCGTGAAAATATTGTAACCAAATCCCACAATAACTGAGCAGTAGTAGGCGTGTTGCGTGTTTAGCCCAAACATGCGACCGCTCACTTTTAATGATGTCGACACATACACGCGAGAGAATCTGTTCGTTTCCCGAAACCTTCAGGTCGCCACGGTATTGGATCAATTGCACAAGTTCCTCGGGCCTGAGCTCAAGGCAGTGACCGGAGAATCAGCCGGAATCGACGAAATAATGGATAGGGTAGAAGGCCTAGCGCTGCCGTTGAACAAGGTAATCTCCCAAGACCACGATGAGAATAGATTGGGGAGTGGAGAATGCGGGGCCACCCCTTGTCCGGAGTCGAGCAATACACTTACTGAGGTGTCTCCACAACTTGCGAACCGCCATTCATATTTTTACCTGCTGTGCGATTAAAACTCAGTCCTGCTGATTGGTCTGTTGTTCATGATAGTAAGACGTCCGTGTCCCTCAATCCACAACCAAGCCCTCGGCGATGTGGTCAGGGGTGAACATTGCCAGGTCCGTGCATGCTGGGCATGCGTCTCACTTCCGCAGCACTACAGTAAAGCAAAAGTCATAACCGTGCCCTAAACTAGAACGTATATGCATATGATACACGTGGATTCGAGTGTTTGGGATCTTGGTGGTGGCCTCTGGTGTTCTATCCTGCAGTATCCGACGGTGTTCTGGCGTTTGTACTGGTCTTGACTTCCGACCGTATCCCCACTCGTCCGTTATCGCCATCACGTTCCTGACTACGCTGGGTGGTTACGGAAGGTCCCTTTTGATATATTTGACCGGAAGTACAAAGACAGCTGGTACACAGTCATGCAGCGGTTTCGGCAGCAGGTCGAGGAAATCGAGGACATGACCAAGTCCTTCATTGAGCAGTCTTTCCAGAAATTGCGCTCAGCCGAGGGTGCCTTCGAGCTTGTGCAAAATTTCCAAAATATCCAGAGCCGAGAGAGCATCAACCAGTCAATCGATGAGAGATACAAGGACATACTGTCGCAATACACGAAAGAGCTGGATTACATCGGGGCGATTTTCCACGCTCACAAGGCTTCACCCCCCATCTACAAGAACTTCCCGCCGGTAGCTGGTTCAATTGCTTGGGCACGCGATCTCTACAACCGGGCCAAAACACCTATTTTGAGGTTCAAGGTGAGCTCCGGCATGACGTTCAAGCAAAACACTGAACGTTCCGCTCGTGGTGAACTACTCTCGTTGGCGTCCGCGCTATGTAGTCAATATGTGTTGTTTCTGCTACAAGCGCGAGCCATGCATGAAGTATGCTCTGCTTGGAGCAGCCCACAGCGATACGATCAAAAGACGAGGAGAGTACTCGGCGTTTCGTCGCCTGCAAGTCTCATGTGTATACACACCCCACAACTCCTACAAACACACCAGGCCCATGAAGGGCTGCTCACCAGCGCGTTTGGCGAGCAAGTCAAGCAGCGATACCTGGTATTCGCTCGAGCGGTGGATGCATATAGTACTCACTTGTATACGGAATGGGAGCAGCGTGTGGGGGCCGTGGCTACTGAAAAGCTAAAGCAGCCAATCCTGTGCGCGCTATCTGCGAGCAGAGGGCAACCTACGGCAGACAGTGCGGTGGACGGTGCTGGCAAGGAAGCACTTGGCCAAACGTTGACCAACCCCGGGAGAAACAAGGGACAAACCCACCAGCAATCTGCGTCCTTTGCCGAGTCTAGCGGGTCTGGTAGGCCATCCCCCCCTTATGGGATCAATTTCGCGACAGAGCTGCACATGATTATTCGAGAAAGCAAGTACCTGGATCGAATGGGCTTTCAGGTGGGCGCTGGCGTGCTGCGCTTCCCCATGTACAACATGCGTGTTTCGGATCGCTCCAACTGATTATTTCCTTTGTAGCGAGCAACGACAAACATACACGGACATACGTTCCCAATCAAACAACCAGATTCCGCAATGTGCTGAGAGATGGCCAGGCATGCTCGGTGTCATGACGCCCGCGCCTTTTTGTGGTACCGCCGGCTCTATCAAGTCTTTTTCACTAAGAAAAACTGCTGGTGTACCTGAATAGGCTGTAAACTGCCTTGAAACCATCGCTGCAATAGGTTCCCGAGGCTGCGCTCAACGTGGCGCTTCAAGAAGACAAGTACCACAAGTACATTCAAGACATGCACCTCATGCTGAAGAACTACGACGCCCTCGTCGGCAGCCTGACGCAAGTGGAAACACGCTTGCTATCAAGACAGCTGCAGCACCTTCAGGCGGTGCTTGACACGGGATTTACTCCGCTCAACTGGAACAGCCAACGGATTCCTTCCTTCATTGAGACATGTAACAAGGCTCTCAACGAGTTTTCCGGAATTGTCAGCCAGATTCACAAGAGTTCAACGATGATTCGGGAGGTGGTGTCAAGGTGAAGGAATACCAGAATGCGGTGCTGTTTGATACACTTGAGCACATCTGAAAAATCTACGGGAGGTTTTACATGATACTTTGATGCACCCACCAAAGGTGCCTGTCATATCTTCTGACTGTGCCTTTCCGATTGCCATGCACCACGGCCCTACACAGGAAGACCTCCTTTTCACCATTGCATACACACTGCCTGAGGAAAACTGTCCGTCGGGAAAATTCATCGTTGTTCCTGCCGCCGTCTGAAACTGTTACGTTGTTGCAGCATCGAGAATATGCTCCTTATGCAAGAGAAAGACTTCGAGACGCCAGATGGACCTCGTGCTCCTATGGATGTAGCTGAGTTCTACGACTCGCTGGAAACGAAGCGCATGGCACGGCTCGATGGTCTGGTGCAACAGTACAACAGCATTGAGAGCTTACTCATCAAGGTGACGTCTCCGCCGAATGTACCGCAGTAGCCATCGAGGATACCATTTCTCTTGCGCCCTCTCCCCTCAAGACTGACCTGGAATTTGGCGACGCCAAAGAGCGTAGTGGCGGTCGTCGTGTGCTGCGTAGCTCAGTCATTTAACGATTATCCTCGCAATCATTCCGGGATGGAGCAATGGTTTCACTACTAGCAACACATGCCGGGTGCTCTAGGCGTTTCTTCAATTTTATACCCAACTCGCTCGTACTCGTCTCATCCCCTTTTAGTCTAAGCTTCATTGGGCACCGTTTCTCTGTACTCGTTTTCTCGACATGAAATAAACCAAATCGTCTGCCCCATCTCTTTCCCAGGGGGGCGTCGTGCTTCCCTGGTGCATATTCTGCTTGTCTCCGTATCTTCTGTCTTGCCGCCTGTGTACGGAGGTCGTTTATAGCAAACAGAAGCAACCTCCTTCTTGTGTATTCTCTCGGTGTTGAATCACTGATTTTTGGCACAGTGGTTGTCATCGAAATGTAATGGATGTATACTATTGACCGACATGTAAACATGTCGCCTTGGGGGCCGTCCCTGTCAAGTTGCACAAGGTTTGAAAAACATGTATACGAACGACAGGAGGTGTCAAACCAGGAATCTCAGATTTTTGTATCCCTAGGAGTCTACCCCCGAGGTTGCCCTTTTCATAAATCCCCCCCTACCCAGTGGTGTCCGTTCTTCCATTCCCGGGTGAGTTTCATCGAAATGCTAGCCCCCGAGGAATACACAGAGGGTGCTTTAGGGTAAGGCTTTTGCGTACTTCGTCCATGTGCACACTGTTTAACTCTAGTCGTCTTGATTCGGCCCACTACCGAAGTTTCTATATTACCGATTGTTGTGGATTGCCATAGTTTGGAGAGTTGCTGCGATGGTACGCACATTACATGCAGATGACCCCGCCCAACTTTCCAACCCTTGTCGTACATATATATCCAGGTGGAAGAAGTTGTGGCTGGCACGAACACTGGCATGTCGCTGTCACTGGCAGGGTATTATCACTACTGGGAAAAGTGCATCTCCAACGCCATTACAAAATGCATCATCTCTAGCATGGCGACATTTTTGGCATTGCTGCAGAGCAAGGATCGCCCCCCGTTGTGTGAAGTCAAGGCGAACCTCAACGGCAAAGACTTGGTGGTGACACCGACGGTCAACGATATTTACAAGTACCTCACCAAGTCGGTCAAGCATATTGTGGAATCAGCACGCATGTTCGTGCGTTGGATGCATGGTACCTGCTGCCAAACAGCCCCGCAGGTGAGCAAGACTGTAACGCACGCAGTACAGATTCTGGATGAAAAGGAACTACAACGTTTTCCGTTATACCGCTCGCGCCGCTTTTGAAATATATTTTACATACATGCCAGCATATGTGAGGACGATTGCCTTCTGACCGGTTGCAGGGTCTGGCCGAATTTTGTATGTGCAGGTTGTTCACGAGGAGGAGGAGCCGCTGGTGTTTTCATTCTACCAAGACATGAGCAAGAACCCCCACGTGATCAAGCTGATGCTCCAGCTAAATCAAGCAATTCACAAGGTATTCTCGATGATGAACAAATATCTAGACGGCTGGCGGCGGTATGACACTGTGTACAACTTGTGGAATCCCAAGCGGAAGAAGGCTTTGGAGAAGCTGGCGGAGAAAAAACATACCTGCGTCTACTTCGATACTCGCATTGCTAGTTACGAGCTGCTCGCCGAGACAGTACGAGCACAACCCAGCGAAAAGGATGTCGATTTCATTCGAATAGACTGCTATCAAGTCGCGGTCGGAATCGCTGCTCAAGCAGACCAATGGAAGACAGACTACGGCGCCGTGCTGCACCAGTGCTCGTCAGCGCTTTTGGAAGACCTCTGCGGGAAAATGTCTCAGGTGAGCCGGTGGGATTGTTTCGACATTCTGTACACGCCTAGGTGACAAGTATGTTATCGCGTGACTTGCCTTCCAGCTGGTGTACTCGAACGGCTTTGTTGTTCATCTCTTGCCATTGCCCTGAAGTTGTCGTCGCGTGGCAGTTGTCCCCTTTCCGATGATCTGGACGACCGAGTCCCATGCATACATGATCCCGGCTCCACTCATATTTCCCAAACTATCCTTTAACTGCCTACTTGTGGTTTTCCCTCAACTACTCAGTTGGAAGCAGACCTCAGAGCCGATCCTCAAGACCTGGACGCTCTCAAGTTTGTCCTCAACACAATCGCCGATATTTCAGGAATGGGGATGGACATTGAGCTCAGCTACTTAGACACGATGGAGCGGTATCGTACTTTGCAACAGTATGATATTCCTGTCCCACCAGACGAAATGGCTAAGGCACAGGGCATCGCCCTTAGATGGCAGGCCTTGTTTACGGAGGCTAAGACAAAGAACCTTTGCCTCGTGAGAGTGAAAGAACGCTTCCGGGAGGTGACCAAGGAGCAAGCGGTCCGGTTCCACGCCGAGTTGAAAGAAATGGAGGCGACTTTCAAGGCGACCGGGCCAGGAAATTCCAATACGGAACTTGAAGACGGAGTGCGCCTCCTGGCCGAGTACCAGCAACGGGTGCAGGTAGTTTGCTAGCTACTCCCGTCAGTTCGGAATAGTGGACGAGCAATCATCGAATACGTTCTATGAAAGTCGATCGATCGTATCCAGGAGCACCCGGTAGGAACGCTATTGTTCCCCACTGTTATTTTCGTTTGTGGGACTCTCTACCAACTAATAAAACAAACAATTGAACAGGTGTGTATGGCCAGGAAGCTGGAGCTGGTGAACGCAGAAGGGTTGTTTGGTCTAGACACCACTGAGTATCCCGAGCTTCAGCGGGTGGTGTCGGAGTTGAAAAAGCTTGGGCGTATCTACGATCTCTACCAGGAACAGCGCGACTTCGAGGACGGCAACAGCGCCACACCATGGGGTGACCTCGATGTCGGTTCGCTTCAGCGAGGTGTCGAAGTGTTGGAGAAGAAGGCTCGTAAAGAGAAACAGTTCAAGGAACATCCTACATTCCGGGCAGTGGAAGCACGCATCTTCAACTTCAAAGACAGCATTCCCCTGATTGTTAACCTAAAAAATGAGGCGATGAAGCCAAGGCATTGGCAGAAGCTGATTGAGGTGAGCCACTGCCTGACATTGCGAATATAGGTAGGTTTTCGTACACGAACAAGTGGTAAACCACAGCCGAACCTTGTCATGATCGTCTCTCTTCTTCTTGCCGCCCCGCCACTCCATCCGCCGTACTTGGCAGATGACCGGAGTTAAGTTTGATCCAAGCAACTTTAAGGCTCTCACGCTCGGTAACATTTTCCAAATGGAACTTCACCGTTTCACCGCGGATATTGATGATATCGTCAACGAGTCTGTGCAAGAACTCAAAATCGAGAATGAAATTCGGAAGGTCGAGGCAACATGGAGAAAAACCGACCTCGTTCTCGCCAAATATCAGAAGAATGGCGTCGACAGAAGTTACGTGCTGAAGGCTGCAGACGAGATCAAAACCGAACTCGAGGACAATCTGCTGAACCTGCAAACCATGTCCTCGAGCAGATTTGTGGGGAGTTTCGCGGATCAGGTGCGAGGGCATCCAAGTACGGATCTATGCACTACTACTGTAGCTGATATGGTTCCTGAGACGTACCATACGTAGGCTGGCGACAACCTTACAAAACCGAGTTGACGCGCGACGTCATGTACGTGCGACACGACGTTGGTCTTACTCGAGTCTTGTGCTGCTCCTCTTCGATGGTACGAGCCAGGTGCGCGGTTGGGAACGCACGTTGAATCGAGTAAACGAGACACTCGACACGTGGTACACAGTACAACGCAAGTGGATGTATTTGGAGAGTATCTTCGTGGGGGCCGAGGATATTCGTTTGCAGCTACCGGAGGAGGCCAAGAAGTTCGATGCCATCGACAAGGCATTCAAGCAGGCAAGAACTACCTATACTACCATCATCAGGTTCAGGCAGCGTCGTACTCACCACACTTTACTTCTGGCTGTTCATTGATCAAGAGGAGGAGCACAATGTAGAAGAGCGTAACATCGGTTGACGCAGCGGCGTTGGTACAGAACGCTTTTCTAGTGCCCTCGACATATAAGCGACTGGCCACCTCGGTCGTTTGAATGCTTCCTGTCGCGAGCCTGGATAGACATGCCATTGGAGGATTGATCGCTACTGCTGATCTTGGGCCGTCGTTGCCATTTGCTGCACCGCAGATCGGCACCCAGACCTACCAGAATCCCAATGTTGTGGACGCCTGTACGACTGAAAATCGTCTGGAAACTTTGGAAAACCTCAGCGAGCGACTGGACGCTACCCAGAAATCGCTCTCCAACTACTTGGACACGAAGAGAAACGCTTTCCCCCGGTTTTTCTTCATCTCCGATGATGAGCTCCTTTCTGTTCTGGGGTCTAGCGACCCGACCTCTATTCAGGTATGAGGCGAAAAGAAAAAGTAGGATTGTTCCGCGTCGTGGTCTCCCGTCCCGTGAGGTGTAGTGGCGAGCTTGACTTGCCTTCATGGTCAAAATCGGTGGGCTACACGCCTGCCAAACCTGTGTTGTAGGTATTCGTTTTATGCGTGGTTGATAGAAATTTCGATCACCAGCATTCCTCATTGGCGTCCTCACGCGGGGAAGGAGAGGTGAACCGCCAAACTCTGTCGTGTTGCCGTCCTTGGACCACTGATCTCCCGCCTCAGGTCCACCTGCTCAAGCTTTTTGACAACGTCAAGTCTTTGTCGTTCGGAAGAGGGGGAAAGCATGTACTGGGCATGGGCTCCAGTGAAGGAGAAGTGTTTCAACTCCGAGAGCCGGTGGGCGTAGAAGGGGCGGTTGAGGTCTGGATGACTGCAGTAGAGAACGAGATGACAAGCTCTCTTCGTTCTATTACCAAGGAAGGAGTGTTTCGGTACGCGAACGAAGCGCGCCAGGAGTGGATAACAGCTGTTCTGGGGATGGTTTCGCTTGTCGGCAGCCAGATATGGTGGACCTGGGAGGTGAGATAAAGGAGATCCACTCGTACCAAACGTTACTCGTACTCCTCCATATTTTTTTACTGTAGAGAGAGATTGAACCGCCTATCCCACACCACGAATTGTGAAAATTCACTTAGAACACAAATTTCGCATAAGACACGCAATTTATCATGGAATACCTCTCACCTCGTTCGCGGGAAGTTTACATGACTTTGAACCAATCAAAAAGCACCACCTTCTTAGCCTGTGACATACGCTACCCCTCGTTTGTTGTGCGTTGAACTCACAGGTGGAAGACGTGTTTCGGCAGGTGGCAGATGGCAACAAGTATGCCATCAAGGATCTCGAGGCAAAGCTAACTGCGCAACTCAACGCCCTCGTCGCTCTTGTTCGAGAGAAGCTCAGCAGTCACGCACGAAAGAAAGTAAATACGCTCCTTATCATCGATGTTCACGCTCGCGATATCGTGGATGGATTCGTGAGAGAATCAATTCTAAACGCCAAGGAATTTGCATGGGAAAGCCAACTACGCTTCTATTGGGATCGGGATGTAGATGACTGCATAATTAGGCAGTGCACGGGAAAGTTCAGCTACGGCTACGAGTACATGGGTATGAACGGACGATTGGTCATCACCCCACTCACGGACCGTTGCTATATGACGTTGACTCAAGCGTTGACATTCAAACTTGGAGGTGCCCCGGCTGGCCCCGCGGGGACAGGCAAAACGGAAACAACGAAAGACCTGGCCAAGTCCTTGGCGCTCCCCTGCTTCGTGATCAACTGCGGTGAGGGCCTTGACTACAAGGTGAGCTAAGCACGCCAGTATTGTTTGACGATGTCTACATGTCTCTTTCGGTTCTGTCGTGCTTTGTGCCCCCGGTCCGTGCCAAGCGACACAATGACAAGAGAAAGTACGCTTGCCCTTCGTAAAACCTCTACCTACCATTGTGATTTCCTTTGCAACTTCAAGGCGATGGGATCTATATTCGCGGGCCTGGTTCAGGTGGGGGCATGGGGGTGCTTTGACGAGTTTAACCGCATCAACATTGAGGTTTTGTCGGTGGTGTCGGCACAACTGAAAGCCATCCAGAACTCCCTCATCAGCGGCAAGCCCACGGTGGACATTGGAGTTGGAGGGGAGATCAAAATCAAGAGAGTTGCTGGCTTCGCGACATGCGGGGTGTTCATCACGATGAACCCAGGATATGCCGGGCGTACTGAGTTGCCAGACAATTTAAAAGCACTCTTTCGTCCCGTGACAATGATTGTGCCGGATCTGCTCCAAATCTGCGAGATCATGCTCTTCTCCGAGGGGTTTGAGGCCGCCAAGGTGAGAAAAAACTATCCTCCGCGCATCTTCCTTGCCGGGAAGTAGAGCTTACAGAGCTTACAGACTATCTAGGCATCCAATCTATTGTCGTGACAAGGAGAGTGTTGGAACTGCGCACTTGGCCTCCTGGACAAGTAGTCTATACCGCACGTAGTATCATGCCAAATCTGGAAGCCAGTCACGCATGTTCTTTGATACGTGTAGTCTACCAAACCCGCCGTCTGTATGGTGCACGAGTATCCGCTTTTCTTCAGACATTACACGAAAGCAATGGAGATCCTCGTGTGTGTTACCTTTTTTCGCTTCTTCTAGGTTCTAGCCAAGAAGATGACAGTTCTGTACAAGTTATCCAAGGAGCAGCTCTCAAAGCAGTACCACTACGACTTCGGTCTACGTGCTCTGAAGTCTGTACTCGTCATGGCAGGAGGCCTGAAGAGGCAATATTCAGAGATGCCTGAAGACTTGGTACTCATGCGTGCTTTGCGTGACAGCAACATGCCCAAGTTCGTTTTCGAAGACGTACCGTTATTCAAAGGCCTCATCAACGACCTGTTCCCGAATATGGATTGCCCGCGGGTGGGGTATGAGAATCTCAAAGTTGAGGTCAGGAAAGAGTTGGAGACCAAGGGATTCCGCTGTTCGGACGACCAAGTCTTCGATGATCAGGTGAATAACTAAGCTTCTGGAGCTGCCGCGAGTGTGTTCTTGTGATTAGAAAATCAGTGCCACTCTTTTGTGATGTGCTTGGATCTTTCGAAGCTATGAACGGAGTGGTCGCTGCATTATGGGATGGGGTATACGACCTATCAAACTGACTCTCACAACACCCACGAGTGTCAGCATGGTCTAAGGCGAGCTGTGACTCATCCACGGACCCTGTTTCTTAGCTCATAGGATATAATACCGCAACTCCTGAGTCGAACAGATACGTGTCTCGAACGCGAAATAATCATCTCGGCAACCTGTGTCAAAATAAACGTGCCAGGTGGACAAGTGCATCCAGATGTACGAAACCCAGATCGTACGGCACACAACGATGATAGTAGGGCCAACTGGAGGAGGCAAAACTCTCATATTGGAAACGCTGAAGAATGCTCGGTTGCCAGCGGATGGAACCGTAGTGAAAATGTTTGTCCTCAACGCGAAAAAACAACCCTTGAACGAACTGTACGGGGTGATGGACCCCGTCACGAGGGATTGGACTGACGGGATCTTATCTAAGCTCTTCCGTGAGCTGAATGCCCCCCTCCCACCTTGCAAGGAGAACGAGATACGTTTGATTGTCTTCGATGGCGACGTTGATGCAGTGTGGGTTGAAAACATGAACTCCGTCATGGACGACAACAAGCTGCTCACACTGCCCAACGGAGAACGCATTCGACTTCAGCCCCACTGCGCGTTGGTGTGCGAAACGTTCGATCTTCAATATGCATCACCTGCCACCATCAGTCGTTGCGGTATGGTATGGGTGGATCCGAAGAACCTCGGGTATACACCGTTCTACGAACGATGGGTGCGCCTTCGGTGCGGCGATGGGGTCGAGGTGGCAGAGGACCGGCAAGCGGACGCCGATCTACTTATGGCCCTCTACAAGAAGTACGTTAAGCGGTGCGTGGACTATGTCCTCTCGGGACTAGTTGAAGGACAACAAGTCGAGAAGCTACGTCAGGTCATCGCGATTCCCAACCTGGACATGGTGAAACAATTGTGCTCCAGCCTGGATGCTTTCCTCGGCGAGGGCGTGGAAGACCGGCACGACGTCGAAGGCGTCTACATTTTTTGCTTGGTCTGGTCGATGGGGGCAGCGCTGGTAAAGGACAGCCGTGACCGTTTCGACCAGTTCATCAAGAAGATTTCTGGCGAAGCTGTCCCGGCTGACAGCCTCTACAGCCACTTCTACGACGCTGAAAACCACAAGTGGGAGAAGTGGAAAACACGAGTGCCTGCGTACCAACAGCCAGACCCTTTCTGCTTCCACGAGATCATGGTACCCACGACGGACTCTGTCCTCTACACGCACCTTCTTGAGACGTTGGCACCGAAGAAGCCCCTCCTGATGGTTGGTGAGTCGGGTACTGCCAAGACTTTGACGATACAGAACTACATGAGTAGGCTCGATGCAGAGACCACATCTCGTCTAGTGGTGAACTTCAGCAGCCGGACGACGGCAAGGAACGTGCAGACGAGTATCGAAGCCAACGTCGATAAGCGTGCTGGGACTACGTTTGCCCCACCCTCCGGCAAAACACTGGTTGTATTTGTGGACGATATGAACATGCCCAAGGTCGACACGTATGGTACGCAGCAACCTATCGCCCTTCTCCTGTTCCTCATCAGCAAGGGCACTCTTTACGACAATGGAAAGGATCTTAGCTTGAAGTACATCAAGAACCTCAGCTACATTGCAGCGATGGGACCTCCAGGTGGAGGACGAAACAACGTCGATCCTCGCTTCGTTGCTCTCTTCAATGTGTACAACCTAATCGAGCCCAGCCCAGTCGTTTTGCACCATATCTACTCCTCAATAATATCTGCACGGTTGGAGAATTTCCCTGAGCCGGTGAAGGAAGCAAGCTCAAAAGTGACCGATGCAACCCTGAATTTGTACAAAATCATCGTGGAAAGGCTTCCTCCGACCCCGTCGAAGTTCCATTATATCTTTAATCTTAGGGATCTTTCGCGGGTATACGAGGGGCTTTGTCTTGCCACTGAGGATATGTTCAGCACCGCGGATTCATTTGTGCGTCTTTGGCGAAACGAGTGCGTTCGCGTCTTTGGGGATCGCCTTTTTGTGGAAGATATGGGTATGCTGAGCAAGGAGATTGAGAGCGCCATAAAGGTCGCTTGGCCCAACTCCACCGAATATGCCATGACAAACCCCTTGCTGGTGGGAGATTATGCCCTAGCAACCCAACGTTTAGTAGATGAAGGGGAGGATCCACAGCTCTACCAGGATCTGGGCGACTATGACCGCACGCGCAAGGTGTTCGAGGAGGTTCTTGAAAACTACAACCTGGATCACAAGCCGATGAACCTCGTCCTGTTCGAATCGGCTCTAGACCACCTTACGCGTATATATCGCATCATCCGCATGTCTCGTGGGAACGCAATGCTTGTGGGCGTCGGAGGGTCGGGAAAAAAGTCTCTGACGCAACTGGCTGCATACTGCGCGGGCTACACTGTTTTCTCTGTATCTTTGGTGCGCAACTACGGAGAGACGGAGTTCCGAGAGGACTTGAAGCAATTGTTCAAGCGACTAGGGGCCGGCCCGGTTGTTTTTCTCTTCACGGATGCACACGTGGTGGAGGAGGGCTTTCTCGAGTTCATCAACAATATCCTGACGACCGGCATGGTGCCGGCCTTGTTTGAGAAGGATGAAACAGATCAGTGCATCAATTCCGTGCGGAAGGAGGTCAAGGCGACGGGCGTTCCAGATACCCCGGACATCTGCTGGGCTTTTTTCGTTGAAAAGTGCAGGAATAACCTACACGTGGTGCTCGCTATGAGCCCATCTGGAGACAAGCTTCGCGTCAGGTGCCGAAGCTTTCCAGGTCTCGTTTCTGCAAGCGTCATTGATTGGTTCCAGCCATGGCCCGCAGACGCCCTGCAGAAGGTGGCTGAATACTTTCTACAGGACGAGCAACTTCCAGAGGAGCTCCGGGAACCGATCGTGGAGCATTTGGTTTTTACTCATCAGAGCGTTGTCACCTTTTCCGAACGTTTCGCGGACGAGATGCGTCGCTACTACTACGTGACTCCGGCCAACTACTTGGATTTCATAGCAAATTATCGCACGCAGCTCAAAGAGAATAATCGAACCATCGAGAGTAGCGTCAAGCGACTGGAGGGGGGCCTTACGAAGCTGATAGAGGCAGCCGATGCTGTCGATGTCATGCAAATTGAGCTGAGCGAAAAGAAAATCGTCGTTGACGAAAAGACATCCCATGTAGAAGCGATGATCAGCGAAATCCAGGCGAAGAGCGAAGTGGCCAACAAGCAACAAGCGGATGCCAGTGTCAAGCAACAGTACGTTCAGGAGCAGAGCGAGATCATTTCGAAAGAGAAGGCGATTGCGGACGAGGCGCTCATGGAAGCACTTCCTGCCGTGGAGGCCGCTGCTGCCGCCCTCGAAAACTTAGACAAGAAAGATCTGGATGAGATCAAGGCGTTCACGAATCCTCCTCAGCTGGTGAAAGATGTTTCCATGCAGGTGAGGTTGCTCCATCTTGGTTTTACGATGAAATCATACCTCGTCCTCACTCTTTTGGGTGGCTCTTTATTGGCCTGAACTCCAGCTAGCCACCGGTACCGTGTGGAACACTCAAACAACCCTTTTCACGCATGAAACCCCCAAACATGTGCATTCTCAGTGCTGCTTGCTTCGTCCTGGTGGAGAGAAGTACGAAGAGACATGGGGGGATGCTCGGAAAATGTTGTCCAACTCAAAGCTGCTCGATAACCTCAAGAACTACCCGAAGGACAGCATCACGGAAAAAATGATCAAGGGGGTGAAAAAATACTTCAAGAACCCGAATCTGACGATCGAAAACATGAAGAGCGTGAGCAAAGCGGGGCTGGGGTTGCTGACATGGGTGGCAGCCATCACGAAGTATCATGATATTGCCTCAAACGTCGAGCCGCTGCGCTTGAAAGTCCGTGACATGGAAAAAGCCCAGCAACAGGCAACCAAGGATCTATCCGAGTTAATGGAACTCCTCGCTACGCTGAATTCAGAGATTTCCGAGCTGAACGCCAACTATACGAAGGCAAACGATGAGCTTACAGAGCTACAGCTTCAGGCGTCCCTGATGGAGAAGAGGCTCGCCGCTGCATCCAAGCTCATCACGGGGCTAACGGGAGAGCGCACAAGATGGACCGAGGACATCGGAAATTTACACCAGCAAGGCGCTCGTCTTGTCGGCGACTGCCTCTTGGCGTCGTCATTTTTGTCATACCTAGGGGCATTTACAACCGACTATCGCTCAGAACTCCTTTCCAGGCGCTTGTTCGACGATTTATGTGAGCGGAAAGTGCCCATTATGCAGCCTTTCCGGCTGGAGGCTCTCCTCACCACGGATGCGACGGTGCAGGCGTGGGTGGCGAATGGGCTACCTGCCGACGACCATAGCGTGCAGAACGGGATACTCACAACCAAGGCCTCAAGGTTTCCGTTATGCATTGATCCTCAACAACAGGCCGTGTCGTGGATTAAGAACACCTACGCAAGCAGCAATCTGACGGTGAAGTCATTGAATGAGGCTGATTTTATGAAGCACTTGGAGTTGGCGATTCAATTTGGGAATCCTTTCCTCTTTGAAAGCATTGATGAAGACTTGGACCCAATGCTTGACCCGGTGCTGGAGAAAAATATCATTCAAGATGGGGCATCCAAAACCATTGTACTTGGTGACAAGGTGGTGGACTGGGATGATGGATTCCGCCTATTTTTCACCACGAAGCTTGCCAACCCACACTACAGCCCAGAAGTGATGGGAAAGACCATGATTATCAACTACGGGGTCACCATGAATGGGCTGGCTAATCAACTTCTCAATGTTGTGGTTGCTCATGAGAGGCAAGATCTTGAAGAGAGCTATGCTGCACTCGTGTCGGATATGAGCGAGAATGCCCAGCTCATCGTCTCGCTGGAAGACACGCTCCTAAAAGAACTAAGCAGCAGCCAGGGAAATATTTTGGACAATGAGGAGCTTATCCACACCTTGGAAAACACCAAGAGCAAGGCTGAAGAAATTAAACTCAAGCTGGAAAAGGCCGCATTCACAAAGGAAGAGATCGGTGAAGCGCGGGCTGTTTACAAGCCTGTGGCCAAGCGTGGTTCAATTTTGTACTTTGCAGAGTCCGGCTTGTCGGCCATTATGAGCATGTACGAGATCAGCTTGGACTCCTTCCTCGGGGTTTTTAACTCGGCTCTCGACGATGCGAAGAAAGACGTGGTGCTGGACAGCAGGATCAATAACATGGTGATTGCTGTGACCCGAAACATTTACGACTATACCTGCACCGGGATTTTCGAGCGTCATAAGCTCATGTTTTCTTTTCAAATGACTTGTATGATTCTCGACGGAGATGGCTCTCTCAACCGCACGGAGCTCGACTTCTTCCTGAAAGGTGACGTTTCTCTCGCCTTGCCGGCAAAGACAAAGCCAGCACCATGGCTGGGTAACCAGGGATGGAAAGACTTACTCTTCCTTGCCGGGATAAACGAGGTATACTTTGTGCTAGTGGAGCACTTCGAAAAAGCAACGACCGAGTGGCGTGCATGGCAAAACTTGGAGGCGCCAGAGGACGTCAATTTCCCTGGAGGTTTCGCCGAGACGCTGAACCCTCTTCAAAAGCTCTGCGTTACGCGCTGCTTCCGCCCGGATCGCGTGTACAACGCTGTAAAGATTATGGTGATGGACACGATGGGCGACAAGTATGTTCAACCGCCTGTGCTGGACTATGCGAGAATCTTAGCCCAATCAAGCCCTGTGATGCCGATGGTCTTTGTTTTATCTCCGGGTGCTGACCCTCAGTCCGACATCCAGAGCCTGGGTGAGCAGCGTGGTTTCACCGGTAACAAGTTCAAGTTCATATCGTTGGGCCAAGGCCAGGGCCCGCTTGCAGAGCAAATGATGGAACAAGGGTATCAGAAAGGGCACTGGGTTCTTCTCCAAAATTGTCATTTGCTGGCATCTTGGCTAAAGAAGCTGGAGAAGACGTTGCAGCTCATGAAATCTCCCCACAAAGACTTCCGGCTGTGGTTGACTACGGAGCCAACCGACAAGTTTCCCCTAGGTATTTTGCAGCGTTCTCTAAAGGTAGTGACGGAGCCGCCCGATGGTCTAAAGCTCAACATGCGCTCGACCTACAGCAAGATTGACGAGGCCACCCTTGAAGAGTGCCCGCACTGGGCGTTCCGCCCGTGCCTCTACGTTCTTGCGTTCCTTCATGCTGTGGTGCTGGAGAGGAGAAAGTACGGCAAGATAGGCTGGAACGTAATGTACGACTTCAACGAATCTGACTTGATGATCAGCCGGCGTCTTCTTTCGCTATATCTGACAAAGGCATTCGAAAGCGGTGATGAGCTCCTTCCATGGGGCTCCCTCAAGTACCTCATCGGAGATGCCATGTACGGAGGACGTGTATCCGACGACATGGATCGGCGAGTGTTGTCGACCTACTTACAGGAGTACATGGGGGACTTTTTGTTCGATGATTGCCAGAAGTTCTTCTTCTCCCGTGCGGGTTTCGACTATGAACTTCCCGAGCTTGGCGACCTTAACAACTACGTCGACATGATTGAGACCTTGCCGCTGATGAACTCTCCGGCCGTGTTTGGGCTGCACCCGAACGCAGAAATTGGGTACTACACAAACGCCACAAAAGACATGTGGAGAAACCTTATTAGCTTACAGCCGCGGAAGGCTGGCGGCGATGGTGGCATGTCCAGGGAGGACTATATCACCTCCATTGCAAAGGATATCGAGAGCAAAGTTCCTATTAAGAGTATGGACGTTGGAAGCTACGATCTCATGAACGTAAAGAGGGAGCTTTCGGAACGAAGCGGGGGCCAGGCTCCCACCCCATGCCAAGTGGTGCTGTTGCAAGAGCTAGAACGCTGGAACAACCTTGTTATGAGGATGGCCACATCCCTCCAGAACCTACGAAGGGCTCTGACGGGCGAGATTGGAATGAGTGACGAGTTGGATGACCTGGGGGATTCACTGTTCAACGGATTTTTACCCAGCACTTGGCGCAAGCTCTGCCCGAACACCCAGAAGCCGTTGGGAAGCTGGATGATGCACTTTTCGGCAAGACATAAACAGTACGATATTTGGCTGTCAGAGGGAGAACCTGCGGTTATGTGGCTATCCGGGCTACACATCCCTGAGAGTTACCTGACGGCCTTGGTTCAAACGACGTGTCGCCTCAAGCAGTGGCCATTAGACAAGTCAACGTTGTATACTCAGGTTACGCGTTTCACAGAAAGTCGTGAAGTCGTACCTGTAGAATCAGGATGCTATTTGTCTGGTCTGTATCTCGAGGGAGCAGCATGGGACATGGAGGAGTCATGCCTTGTTCGACAAGAACCGAAAGTTCTCGTAACCGAGCTCCCTATTCTGCAAGTAATTCCGATAGAAGCGTCCAAATTGAAGATACAGAATACGTTTAGAACCCCGGTTTATGTTACCCAGGAGCGAAGAAATGCTATGGGAGTTGGTTTAGTGTTTGAAGCAGACTTGCAAATGTTTGAGCACCCTAGTCACTGCGTGTTGCAAGGAGTTGCATTGTGTTTGAACACAGATACGTGATGTTAATAAGAGCACGGGCTTGATGTTTTTTTTTTATTTCTAATCTGATGGGGAGATCGGGGTGGATTTGATGAATCAATGTGGTACCAGTTTGTTTCTACCGAGAGTTCGGTTAGTTTTGGATAAAAAAACAGGTGAGCTCAATCGATTTGAGTAAAAACCAAAGTAATGCAAGGAGCTTTTGCATGAGCCTATGAAAACGGTGGGGAAAGCTCTACGTATGTATTTATGAGCCTAGCAATACACTCTTGGCAACCGCCTCGGAAGGCAGTACTCTTCATATTGCAACACTGCTGCGAACACTTTTGAGCTGATGCATGCATCGAAGGCTTGTTAGCTAAGTAGATGGTGGCGGAAAACTTCCGAACTCGCTCGAGACGACCCTGAAAAACCAAAATCTTCGGAGAAAACAGTTGTCCACCCACATTCCCCCAGAGTTCAAATAGTAGCTGTTTTTTGGCAGGACTATCACGATATGATGACCCGAGACGAAGTGAAGTTGACTTGCCAGAATTCAGCCCTTCCCTCACCCGTTTCACCCTTTCTTCGCTCAATGAACCGCGAGACAAATTTGGCAGGAACCCACCCTGCGGGGTAGATAGAGAGGATCGATTAAAATCCTCAGGAAATATCTTGGCCATAAGCGTCGAGGATTACATGTATTTATTTTGCTACGGTTTTACGCTCAAAATGACAGTTATTTTGCCCAAAACCCGCCTGAACTTCTCCGAAGCATAACCTTTGGTTGTCACCGACGCTATTTATATTCTGTTTATAATTGTTTCGTAGATTTCATACCACTGCCACCGCTCGTTCTTTTCTGCTTCTGCTCCTCGAGGGTATCGAGGCCTACCATGTGTGTGGTTGTGTCTGCGGTCTTATTTTGTGTTGTGGCGTGTAAGTGTTGCTGTGTACTTCTTCTTCATTCATACTGCCCTCGAAGCGGCTGCCACCATGTGAGCACGTAGGCACCTGATTGACCATGCTAAAAAATCGACAGCAAGCGGTATTTGTGAATGGTAAACATCCATACGGTGGCATCATGCCGGACTACAATATTGCCACGCCCGTTCGTTGGTCAGCGCAAGCGCTCCCGTGCAAAGCGTAGAGTGCCCACATTCAACAGCGAGAGACACGCGACGCTGCAAATGACAACAACTCGCAGTGACGGACGACCATCCATTGGCTGATGCCGCACGCTCCCGAAAAGAAGAAGGGTATATAGCGTAAACAATGTGAAATGGTCACACTCAGGAAAACCATGAAAAGCAACCAATCCCGAAGCAACGCTGAAAATCGTTACAAGGCGCTTCAAGGGTTGCATTAAACATGTACATCTCGGAATTTTTGTCGCAACGAGCGGCATAATCGTTGAGCAAGCCAATGTCACCAATTTCAAAATGTACGTAACCCGCGAGGGAATATCACCAACAACATGAGGTCATCAGGAGACCTTCACACAGTTCAATCACATGCAACCTCCCGGACCAGCCAAGGTACCCCAAACACTAGGTAACGCGGTTGACAGTGATCTATCTACACATGCAAGAGTCAGGCACGCCACAGCCGAATCAGCGCGCGGTATGCTGACGCAATCCCTGCCATTGTCTGTATTTGCGATGCTTCTAGGCAACCACACACGCGTGGACGTACGGAGACTTCCGCACTTCATACATATGCGTACGTATCCGGAACATTTGAGCGGATCTTTAACACTGCTGTGCATTCGCTCCCCGCTGTTTTCAAATTCTACACCAACGGCGGACGAACACAGTACAACCCTTGACTCCGTGACATATGCGACCCTGGTACAGCAACACCGCCAAACGATCGGCACCGCAGCGGGTAGGTATGATGCTGTGGATGTGCGATACGTATCAATGGTACTCTCGTTGTTTAGGGGGTTCAAACCACGAACATTGATTATTGTATACCTCTATTTCCTCTACAACTCCCGGGGATGGGGAGAGGTATCTCCCATGAAATTTTGGGCACATATGCCAATGAAGCACGACCATCTGTTGTAATGGCACACGCCCAACCGGTGTGCCGAAGAGTGCCCTAATTGTTTTTCTCAAGGCCAGCAAATCGTCAATTGGTGCTCAATAGGCCCGTCCTTCTGTAAAAGGAGGGTATTTTTCGGTCCCCCGGAAGGTTGGCGGGAATCAAACTTGCGCCCCTGCATTGCATTGGAACAGCCCGATGTGTAGAACCTTTTTCCCTCTTGGAATGAAGTAAAAGAATTGCGCTTGGCGCTCTGCGGCTCGTTGAAGGTCAATTGGGCTTTTTTCGTCCTCATCGGTATCAAGAAACCTGTATCCAACTATTTGGGTGGTAATGACGTATGCATTTCATTACCGGAACGGTTTGCTGGAAAGAAAAGACTTCAAATATCGCGGTGTATGGACAAGAGAGCACCTCCCGAACGCCAGACCTGGTAGATTCCCCACCGGTGCAGACACACTTCCGTACGCGCGCTTGGCAAGGCATCCAAGAGGCCTTCAGAGTCCGTTCCTTGATGTGTACACTCGATATAGTTGACTCCCCAGGTTGAACGCTGGTAAAAATTTTGGATCAACAAACAACTCACAGCTGCTCAGTCAACCTGAACTCGTCAGATTTATGTAGGGAGCCATATTGCCTCCGTTGACCCTACAGGGCCGCCTCCCCCGTGTGTGAGAGGGGAGACTAGGCCCCTAAGCTCCCATAAAGGGGGGTCGAAGGGGAGATAGACAAGAGGAGTATAATGTGTCCAGAAGTTATCAGAGGCCTCCCTGATGGACCAACAAGGGGGTACCATCAACATCTCCAAGCACCATGTTCGAGCCCACAGCAGAGCCCAGTCCACATGTGTTCACACGCAATATTCTGAGCTAAAATTCATAAGAACCGCTTGTCGATCGCCATGGCACTCTTCACTAACACCTAACTAGGCAGCTGTTCCCCGCCTCGGAACCATGCAGAGCCAACGTAGCTCCGCATTTATGCTCTGGAAGTTAGCAAATGCACCTCCGAAGTCCGCGCTCGGTGTCGTCTTTATCTGCTGTTGTGGTGATGTTACGGTGTGGGCGTTTGTGTTCCCCGCTAACAAAAACAATCGTTGGATGCTTTTTTTGCAGACGCGGTCTGAAAGGGGGCACAATATGGAGAAACCTTGTTTGTCGTGAAATTTTGCGGTGGAAGCTTTCACCAAAGTTGCCAGGTCCTGCAACCCAGAGAGATCTTCCTTCCTGTCGTACGCCGGCGCGAGAGGTGTCCTTGTTTCTTATAAGCTCACTTTGACGGAGGTGAACCTTGTGCATTTCCGACACTCTCGCTCTCTCTTTCAGCTTCGGACACGTTCGTTTCGGACGGATTTCAACGCGTCCATTATCTTGGCTTAGGCCGGAAGTTCGCACAAGAAGAAAAATCACGAAGTTGATGAACGACCAACACACCGCAAACAACGTAAAATGGGCATATTTGCCACACGCAGGGAAAATGACGAAGGAAGCAATAAACCTCAAGCAACGCTGAAAACAATTACAAGGTGCTTCCAGGGTAGCGTTGAAATACCTCGGAACACAAACATACGTGTTGCCACGATCCACACAATCATGGAACAAGCCAACGTCACGAAATTCAAAACGAACGCAACTCGCGAATAAATACCACCAACACGGCGAAAAAATACAACGGAGCGCGTCTTCAGAGGGCGGGTGAAAGCCTCCTCACACATTCACTTGGCCCGCTTGCGGTCGGCCTTCGCTTGGTGGCACGTCACCGCAGTGGGGGCTTTCCCCATCACCTTCTCCTGCGCCGCGGCCAAGGCCTTGGTTTGCGTCATGGCCGCCGGCGAACGAGCTTCGTCCGACGATGCCGCCGTAGTATCCACGACTCTTCTCTTGCCCGCCATCGCTGCCGAGACTGCTGCCGCCGCCGCCACCACCACCGCCGTCGCAATTGCCATCATCCTCTACTGTCTCTCTTCAGAATGAAGAATGGAAGTCCAGCCGCTGGTCTTGCTTGCTTGTAACCCGGCGTCCACGGTAGCGGCTGCCTCCGTCCCCGGAGTGTCTTTCATGAGCGCGTCCCCATCATCATCTGTGGCACCGGAAAGCGGACATGACATTTTCACCACTATTTCCGGCGTTGCTGAAATTCCGAGCCTTCTGTTGCGGCGGACGTGACACTAGGAGCAATTCCGCCCAGAACATTGCTCGAGATCGAACTGTCTCCTTGGTACACGTTGCCTGTGCCGTTGGCAGCAGCCTCGGGGGACGGGACCGCGAACGACGGTCGTGGCTCCTCTTCCGCCGCGGTGTTGTTGGTGGCGGCCTCGCCCTCTCCGCCTTGCTGCTCAATACCGATCGTCGTGTCGAGAGAAGGGAGGGTGGCAACGTCAGCCTTCGCCGCCCAGGCTACCGTCGCGTCCTCCGGCGGTGGTATGGCCACCAACACCACCGTCTTCCTACAGGTGAAACACGCACAGCGGGCGACAGCATCTGGGCTCGATGCCGCTGGACTCTCTGTGGTGTGAAGCAATGTTTTGCTGTCGCGCATGTTGTTTTTTAACGCCGCGTTCAACTGCCAGCAATATGAACCCAGCACCACATTAGTTCTCGAAACCTAGGCGCCGATCGCCATCGCACCACTTCGAGCGTGTGCACCATTGTAGTGTCTCTAGACGTGATAGTTGTGTTGGGCATGGGTGCTGTATGTGGCGAGAGCATCGTGACGATCTGAAATCCGGTTTGGCCTTTTCGCCTGGCAATGGGGCCCGATTGCCCGGGGCAAAAACACGATTTGGATTCCACGCCGCCACGAAGGTTCTCCCATACACAACTGTCATGGCCCGAGAAATCACAATGGAGCACACCCTCGAAGTAGTGCCATGAGGATTGGTGCGTTAGGTGACGAGAACTGACTTGTGTCCTGCTGTTTTCGTTGGTAGTTGGATAAACACAGAACAAAATAGCAGCGAACAGGGGGTCAACGGAGGATATATATACATACGCTCTTGTCCATAGTGTAAAATTTGGCCGAAGAAAATTGTGTGCCGTGCGGCCCAACAAAGATGCATACATACATACATACATGCCAAAACACGGGATCGTAGTCTACGATCCTGTGAAAAGAGGTGGAAGCATCGGTAGAGCAGCGGATTATTGGACATCTTGTGTTGAAAAGGAATGCGCGAGCCTCATCGAGAGAAGTGTGCCCGGCGTCTACTCATCGTTCATCGTCTATTAACTGAGCAGCAAAGCTGTATGTACGCGGCGTGGAGTATGTATCATACCCGAACCCACCTTGCAGCGGTTGTCCGAGCTGTTTGCTGGTTTTGGATGGAAGAGCACATCATCAACTTAGTACCTGGAATGGACTCCAAGGCGAAGGGGTGCTCTCCCTTCTGCTGTGCATGGGCTAGCACGCCCGGCGCACTCGTTAATGTACCAAGGTCTTGCGTCAACCTTCCTTCTCTGCGCTTCTGACAACAAGCTGCCCGCCTCCACGATCTATTGGGGGGCGAGCCACTGCTTGACATCCGTCAGGGAGAGGCAGAGTAGACGGACTACACCGCCAGCAGCAACAGCGATAACGGACGGCACCCCGAGAATGTCGCCGACAGCAACTGTAGCGGCGGCAACAGCAGGGGCAACGACGGGGGGTTGGACATTGCCTGGTTTGGAGCATCGCTGCGCTCCTTCGACCCGGGGAAAGGTGTCATCCGTAGTGGCAGCAGTGATGGTGGACAGGACGGGGAGAAGGTCGGTGACAGCGAAAGCAGCGGCAGCAGCAGCAGTAGCAGTAGCAGCAGCAGCAGCGGCGGCGACGGAGGCTAAGGGCTGGATATGGCCTGGTTTGGAGCATCGCTGCGCCCCGTTGACCCGGGGAAACCGCTAAAGGCGAGGGTTAGGGGAGCGGTGCTGGGGGTGAACACCCCTTTCAACCGCGGGAAGACGTTGGGGCGGCGACGGCCGGGGCGCATGCCTTCGCGGCCGGAGCAGGGGAGGAGGATCTGGTGGCCACCGGAGCGGGGCCCCGAAAGGTGGTGACGGAAGATTCGAGATCTAAACCGAGGCGCGACGCGAAGAATCTGACGGGCTTGCTGCGGTGGGAACTTTCGAGGTTTTGGTTTTGATTTGTTTTGGGGGGGGTTCTGTGAGTCGCCGGTCTACTCAGTAGCACGCACATACTTGGGGACCTCTTTCTTTGTTCCTCCACACTGTTCTGCAAAACTTTCTTGAACTGCACGCATGCGGAAGTCGTTGCATGCGCGTCTTCCGAGATACCCTGTTCACTGAACAACTTCAATTACTGTCTGTCGTGTCGCACACGCCAACATGTCCACATGACGCGCGCCACGTGAAGCGTGGCGCGTGCCCTAGGCGTGTGCCTATGGCGCGTGCCCATGGCGTGTGCCCATGGCGTGTGCCTATCCTGTGTCGGTGCGGGAGAGCTGTGTCGTGCACAAGCCCTCCGTGCTCCTACTCGGTCACTCTTCATCTGTTCCCCAGATCTGACACCAGGAACCGTCGACTCTTCCTAGAGAACTGTCATTTTCCCGCGTGTACCTCGCGGTCCCCCACCACTGCTTCGGAGACATTGCCTGTCTACAGACGACTGAGGGATGAACACCCTCCTGTGGTTGAGATAGCCAGCCCTCATTTCTTAATACCAGCTTCTAATTTTGGTTGATAATGTTCATGCCCGCGTGTTGCCCATGTTCTGTTGGATTGGTAGTACTGCTGTTGAGTTTTTCGTTCTGGTGTGTTTTGTTGCGGAGGACTGATGATCTTTTGTTGCAGATAGGCGTATGGTCGTGATGATAGACAGAGACATTACAAACCTTTGTCGTCCAACCACTGTTGTTCGCTGTACGCAAAGCTAGATAGTTGGGGGTTATTTTGAACGCTACAGCAGGCAGTGTCTCTTCGAACCGAGTATTTGCAGCGTGCAACAAATGTATCGATCAGATAATCGACTACAACCACTTACAAACTCTTGCAGGGAAAAGGGACAAAGTTGCCCAAAAAGGGAAGATGGGGTGATCTTTTTTCGCTGTCCCTTGTCGGGAGGTTCAAAAACGCAAAAAAAGACCACGTAACAAGTGGTTTTTGGTCAGTTGTCCCTTTTTGAGAAAAGGGACAGCCCAAAAAGAGACAGCGTAACAAGTGGCCTTAGTGCCGTAAGACACGCTGGTAGGTAATGTGGATGCTCGTTGCTGTCTGTTTCGGGTGCATTGTTGGTAGTGTTTGCTCGGGCATGTGTGATGTATTTGTCTAGGACGCAGACAAGCATTACCCTGCGACGGAGTCCGAGTATGTTGTCTTGACGGATGGGATAAATGAGGTATCTAGGGAACAAAGATTTTCGTGTGGGTATGCGTGTTGGAACTGGGTGGTTTGTGGAATTCTGTTAGGGGTGTCATGGCAGCAATTTCCCATAGGAAAAAAATTGAAAAAGTGACCTCGGATCTTCCTGATGGAAAATCGACTGACCAAGAAAATTGCACGGAACGGTCTGAAAGCTCCCTAAAAACACCTGAAGCGCACGCGGGGCGCCACTCGTGTGTGTGATCTGATTTGCCCTGCCGTGAGACACAACACAACACATTTGCGCGGTCCCACTCTAGAACACATGCCTCATGACACACCCGAGCAGCAGCCGGGCGCAGACACCTGCCGCCGCCGCTGCTGCTGCTGACAGCAGCAGCAGCAGCAGCAGCAGCGGCGGCGGCGGCGGCGGCAGCGAGGTTGAGCCTGGCTCTCTTCCACAATTTTTTTACTTTTGACCAAATCCTCCTTCGTTTCCTCCAGCGTTCCCTCCACGACTGTGAGGCTACCGCTTTCTATAGCGCGCCGCGTGTTATCTTTTGCTGACGCGGCAACCATACACTGCCCCGTCCTCTCTTCAAACGTCGTTTTATTTTGATTCAGCTTTCGCCCAGCGCGCCTCCTGCTGCCGAACGGGGCAGACCTCGATTTTTTGTTTTTGGAAGGGTCTGCTGGTGTGGGCGCTGCAACCCCACTGGAGGGGCCGTTTGCAGACATGTAGATCTCGTGGTTGGCTGATGCGATTCGGATTCGGTTTGTTGTGTGGTAGGGCTGTAGACTTAAGGTAGCGGGCTGTAAGCTCGCTTTTTCGAGAGGAGCAAAGGTCGCCTTGGGCATGGAGCAAAAAGCTCTAAAAACCATGCTTTTTTTGTGTTGTTTGTCCACCCTTCAATTTTGAGAGAAAAACGAGCTTACAGTCGCCTGTATTGAACTTGTGTCCAGGTGTGTGTAACGTATGAAGAGCCACGCTGCTGCCTGGGCGCAGAACTACCTTGCACAAACAAACTAAGTGATGTAGCGTTTAATCAGTGCAGTAGGCGGGCTCTCTCAAGAGCCGAAACAGAACCCAATCCGTGTCCCCCCCCCCAAAATTGCTGAATAGACCGGTCACATTTTTGGCACCAAACCTGCCCGATTGACACCCCTAACTGTACAGAGTTTGGGGGGGCGTGATCGGTGATTGCCTCACTTTCGACGAAGTCATTTTTCCTTCCACCAGAATTTGTGGTGTGAGTCAACGTAGCGGCCGTGACGTATGGACGAAATGCCGTTGCAGGTCGATCATGGTGGAAAGCACTCGATGGAAAAAGGAATGGGGTTGGTCAACGAATGCCATGTCGGCACACATGAGTTACTGCTTTGATATGACTGTGTCGGGTATTTGGATTTGGTTTGTTTTTGGAATGCGCTGTTAACCGGATCGCGATTTACCTGCGGAGTTGGTGCCTGAGCATTTTCGGAAGGAGATGGTTCTAGTCGCGTTTTACCTGCGAGCTGATATTTTAGCCGCAGGGCGGCTGGCTATCGTTCTTGTTTTTTGTTTGTTTTCGTGCATTGGGTTTCGCGGGGGGGGGGAGTTCCTAAAAACTATACAATATTGCTGACGGGTTTGATAGGACGGCGTTGCGTACTCTATTTGGTTGTGTGTTGATGCTATTTCGTCTGTTTTTTGGCGGCCTGTTTCTGTTGTTGTCTTTTGGCTTTTAGCTGTGCATCTGTGGATCTGTGGTCTGGAAGTATTAGGTGTGCAAAATTTGTGGACTTGAGGCAGAATCACTGCCAGTTAAATTGCCATCGACAATACAGGGCGGGGGAATTCCTTGCCATGATCTCCGCCGCAGTACATCTAGCAGTACTTTGGCATTGAGCTTCTTCTTGTGCCACAGGTTTATCACCTTGAAGATTTTCATTGGATCTTTCATGTTAGAGGAAAGATGTCCCGGCAGGGGGGCTGTTGAATATCGGTTCTTTTTTAGGTATCCGCAGTAAGTCATAGGTTTTCCTTGATGTTTCCGCACACATTGCGGTTTGACTTTGTCTTGACTACACAATACTGCATTTATTTCTGTGTTTGGATTAAATATTCGATTCATTCTTGATGGACCTTCTTGAGGAGACTGTATGCCGAAGGAGAAATAGTTTGAGATTGTAAGGTTCAGAGTGGATGGCATGATGAACGCCTCTTGTGTGTTTGGCATTGGCGTTACCGCCGTTTTACCCTGGTTATAGGTGAAGAGTTTGATAGATCATATCGAGTACCGAGTAGGGGGGCTGTTTGGGGTACTCAGCATTCGATACTGATCTACGGGGGTTTAGGAGGTTTCGTGTATCATTGCCGGTATGTGTTGGTAGAGGGGCGATCCCCCTTCTACAGTACATAGACTAGTATGCCCGGCGAACTCGTTAAGATACCAAGGTCTTTTCTGCGCTTCTGACTACAAGCTGCCCGCCCCCAAATAGGGGTTCCGCACCGGGGACCCCAATACGCCGGTCAGCAGTGCAGACATCGTTCTATCACCATTTGCGAACATTGTTGCACCAAGGCATCAAACTACTGAGGAAAACTCAACGTTTATTTCGATTCATACAAGGCAAATCAACACGAGACTCTCCCGTGTATTTGATCTCTCTACAATCCGTCCATAGAAATTCGACGGCGCCAACTCTCGGTAGTCGCCTCAATGGCCAGATCTCGCTTCCACAACCGTTATCTGTTCTTTGCTTCTTTCAGGTCCCCTAGAGCATGGGAATTCCTTTTCTTGTTAAACTTGGGTAGAATACGGTGAGAAGAGCATGCATTATTAGTTTCATGTCGATTTGAAGGCCTCTAATTGACCGAGACACATTCATGTCCATTATACGGTGAACACGGCACTGATTGAAATTCCAGGCACGGTGATTTGTTCCCTTGCTGATAGGTCAAGTTTGTGTACACATCTCCTGTGGAAGCGGCGGTTGAATAAACTAAGGTTCATTTTCGTGAACCAGCTTGCAAACAGAGCGTATTATTTCACACGAGTCTCTCGCTCCATCTCTCCCCGACCATCATGCCGACCAGGCAAGTAGAGATCCCAATCGAGCGTATCTCTTGGACATGCAGATATTGAAACTCGGCTTTCCGCCGTGAGCTACTGCTACCCAGGTGAGCTGCGTCCACATGACGAAAAGGTCGCTCGTGTTCATCCACAAGCTGTGGCCCGTACACCTCGATCGCCACGTGAGGAGAAGTGTCATTGATCCGGACCATGGTTGCTAGATCTCTACAGCAGTGTCTGGGTCAGTCCCTCGCTGGCCATCAATTCTCGAACACCTGGCGGAAGAAGACGAAGGTGCCGTCGTTGACAGGCTACTTCTCTCCGCTTCCTCTTGATCACAAATTGTGAGGCCCCTCCCGCCCATGTCAAATCCCCCCACCTTCCGTTATATATACACTTCCCCAGCCGCCGACCCGGTTATACTCCCAGCTGCCTTCCGAGCCTTGCACTTCTTCAACGTCGCGAACCTATCCATCGCTTTGTTCATCTTCTCTCTGAAATCTTCCGCAGCCCATCCCGCTGCTGCCGCCCTCTCCGCGGTCTCTTGTGCATCCGCCATCTGTCGGCGTTTTAACGATTGCTCGTGTTTAGGGCCCCCGTACCTAACCACGGAGGCTACCGTCCCTACCGACGGTAGATGAGGTAATGTCTGGCGATCAAATTAACCCAGGATCAAAGCACATGACATGATCAGACACAGTGTTCCTTCCAGCACAAGATGCACATCGACTAGACAGTGAAGACACAAACGCTTTCTTTTCTCTCTCGGAGGTCCCCGCACTTGGGCCCCCAATAGCGTACCCGCCACAAACATGTCCTCTCCAGATCGGATCTTGTTTCCAAGTACTTCAAACAGGCTTCAATAGTATTTGCTGGTCCAAGCGATGACGATGTTTCTTTTTCCATCGAAAAAATGGGTTTAACTCAGCGCTATTCCCGAAAAATGCAAGAAAATTTGTCCGAAATTTACCGATAAAACATGGTCGCCATCCCTGCTTTGATGAAATTTTTTCGATTTTTTCCTACTTTGATCAAATCAAAATTGTGATCGGAATCCATACGTTGTTCAAATGAGAATGGTCATCTGATCATGTGTTGGTTGAACTTACAGATGTACTCAGCATACACACGCACTGTCCACCAGCACGTGTCACACACACGGACATGACACAAGACATCTAGATATTTTGCGCACGACCAACACTACTTCTACATTGTAGCATACATATATCACAGATACGGACATGACACAAGGCGTTTAAATATTTTGCGCACGACCAACACTACTTCTACATTGCAGCATACATATATCACACACACGGACATGACACAAGGCGTATAAGTATTTTGCGCACGGTCAACACTACTTCTACATTGTAGCATACATATATCACTGTGCCCGATGCGCATGACTCTGTGGTGCATCTCCAACTTCAGATGCTATGTCCCACAGCTCACAACTGTTAGCCGTGCGCCTGACCCTGTTCTTGAGCCCAAATTCTGTCACGCGGTGGTTCTTGCGAAAATGCTTTTTCCTTTTTCTTTCGTTGCCAAGCCAATCAAAGCCGACTAATTTTGACAGCGGCGTCCATTTCCAGGGCGAACAGACTGAACATGTGCTGCGTTGGCGCGTATTTTTTCAATTTTTTTGAGCAGGCGTGGATGCGCGCGATCAGCAACACATACACGGACATCACACGGCGGTGGGGTTGATGCGTGTGCTCTCTCGTGATCAACTAGACCTGCGACCATCTCACTGCTGACCGGCGCCACAAATCATGGCCGATGGCGCCGAAGAAGCGCAGAACGCGCCTAGACTTCCCACTCTTGACGAGCTTAGTGGCCCTACGATGACGAGCTGAGCGGGAAGGATGACGATGAAATGTGATAAAGAATCCGCGATGGATGAAGGCAGATGTATTTTGAATCAACACGAAAAAAAAAACGTCGTTTGAAACAACGCAACACCACCCAAAAGGCACTACCCCCTCTCGCGACCTTTCCTCCCCTGCACGAGGTCGAAGAGGTATTGTGTAGCACGTGTATAAGCGAGAGCTACTGATGGCGCAGTAATGATAGAAAGAGCTGCAGTACCGCCGGCGGTACAGCCTTGGCGCCGTGACACAAATGTTAGGCGATGACGAAAGAAACGCCGAAGTTGATGGATGATGGTAGGTATACTTTTTTATTCAAAACGAAAAAAAATAGTTGATTTGACACAACACAACATCAAAAAGAAACCGCCCACGCTTGCAACCTTTCCTCGCCTGCCTGAGGCCGAAAAGGTACTGCACAGCAAGTTCGTAAGCCAGAGCTATTGATGGCGCAGTAACGATAGAAAGAGCTGCAGTACCGCCGGCGGTACAGCCTTGGCGCCGTGACACAAATGTTGGCGATGACGAAACAAACGCCGAAGTTGATGGATAATGTCAGGCATACTTTTTATTCAACACGATAAAAAATAGTTGATTTGACACAACACAACATCAAAAAGAAACTGCCCACGCTTGCAACCTTTCCTCGCCTGCCTGAGGCCGAAAAGGTACTGCACAGCAAGTTCGTAAGCCAGAGCTATTGATGGCGCAGTAACGATAGAAAGAGCTGCAGTACCGCCGGCGG